CTTGTGTCGCTTCGCTAAAAGTGAAACCTCGTGACGAAAGTAGGCAAACGGGAGGAAACCGGAAAGCAGACGTTGTTTAGTGAGAATGTTCCTGGCCAGTTCATCAACATGACTTTGACGTCGGCGCGGCGTGTCCTATTTCTGCACGTAACCGTATAGCGCGAGAACAGTGTTCTCAAAACTTTAACCGACTTTAATTTTAACGGTAAACTTTTCTAACAAACCCAAAATCGATATTTACTCGGGGAAAGTTACAAAAAGAGTGCCATAATCTACTGGCTTCGTCATACTTAACATTAAATATCTTCCTTGATAGAGTTCTCAAATTAGAATTCCGCAAAATTAAAATTGGAGACTCTATCATTACAATAAACGGCGGACAATTTCGAGATATGCCGTGCAAACATTTCGTTCTCACAGTCGTGATGCAACTGGAAGGGGATCGTTCGAATAACTCGCATCTCACCAAATGATTTAGCACGATTATCTGCGGTGCAATGTAACGTAGAAAGCTGCATGAGGGAGAAAGTTGTAATGCATAGGAAGTTACATATACACGCGTCACGTACAAAACCATTCGATATGAGATAGAGTACGATGTAATCAGATCAAAAATTAAACATATTACGCCTAGTATAACGTAATTGATTATGTAAATTAATAACGCACGTATTATTGAATACTTGTTATGACGTAAAAATATATATAACAATTATGTAATGCAACTAGAGGCATAGATAACGTTGAATTATAAAACACAAGTTTGTAATTCAAATTGTAGCAATTAATTAAAAAAACAAAGGGTTAAAGATAAAGATCTACTCGGAATAGGAAATCAACGATGTATATTCATTATTTTTTTAACGTATATTTCATTGTGATAAAGTTGTAAGTATCAAAAACAACTTCCTGTATTGTATCAAAAATAACTTCCTGTGTATGACAAACAATTTGTTTCAAGAACGAAGAGAATCTTGTTTTTGTAGTAAAAAAGGGATGAAGGTCATCTTCTTTGATCGTTCATTCCCTCTTCAACTGCAAGAGTGCAAGGTAGAAGATAAACTACCACGTAAAGTTACGAGTAATACACAAACTAGTGATTTAGAATAATATTTATATATTGACTAAGCATTAAATAAACTATAAAACAATCGATAAATTGATAACAACCGATAGTTTGATCCTACAAATATAAAACTTATAAATATAATTTATATTAGCAAATAATTTTTCAAATTATTTTCGAGAAAATAATAAAAATAATTAGAGAAATTGATCAACAAGCGATATTATTATTTTTGTAATAAATAAATAAGCCACTTTAAATCAATCTGTAAAAATTTTATCAAAATTATATACACGGTAACATTAAAAAATATATATATGTATTTATTTTTTACTTATACTGAGATACACAATTTTTATAAGAATCTTAATTTATTAAAAAGAAAAAAATATCTTTTTTAATATACAGAAAGGAGAGACATTAATCAATTTTTGAGAATTTGTAAAATTAGAATTAAAATAATAATAGTTCAACTGAACAATAAAATAATATTAATGAACAAAAATGAAAGGGTTGAGCTTACCTTTAAGAGCCCATAATTCTTCATTCTTCAGAGCATCGATGTATGTCGTAATGTCTTTGTCGCATTGTACTCCGACCGGATACTTTCCTTCGATCCAATTTCTTACTAAATTACGCGCACTAAAAACATCCAACATCTCCGACAGGCTGGTCCAGTTTTTTTCAACTACATTGAACGTCGTTGGCAAGCTTCGTACTCGGAGAGTCGGTTCCTCTGCGGTATTCTTCGGAATATTTGTAGATATTTCTTCGGCGTGGATAGAAACATAGATCGCGGAAAATATGAGCAAAGTTATGAACGGCAGATGCATTACGCTCCCCATGTTTATCTCATAAATGTTCACAGAAAAGATGTATTTAGCGTTTTCAGAAAATTTGAGCGAGATTCACTAGATCCATATAATTGGTGTTTAGGCAAATCTTTGAAATCGATTGTCAAGATCAACAAAAAATTTTCTCTTCTTCTGGCAGTCGATCTTCTTGATTTACTGACAGACAAAAATTCACAAAATATTGAACTTTGAGCAATTAAAATATCGATTTTCTGTCAGGATACTCGTGACATTGCAAGAAATAATGTTAATTTGTTAAAAAAAACTTGCGTATTTATTTCAGCATTTGGACAATGGAGCCCTTAATCACGTCTGAACAAGACTGCGTTATATTTGCATCTTCACTTCTGAGTTGCCTATCAGAGAATCCCGATAATGCGACTTTTTTAAGTTCATGATAACTTTTAGACGTTTATATTGTTACGTCCACTCTCGGGTAGAAAGAGAAAAAAATGAATATGAAAAAAGATGATCGACTACGTGCGTCTTCAGATGGATCCTTCTGTCCTGCTGGATGACCACGGATCAACTGTACGGGCCGGTTGTGGTCCGACCAATGGTTCTGAAATGTTCTCGCGGTATTATAATGAAAATGATGGTGGGGCGAAGTCTCCCTGTGGAGTGAAAATCGAAAACCTTTAGAGTGGTCGGTGCGCGAGACAGTGCGAGCTCATCGACACGTGCGTTCGCGTGTGTTCTAGTCATTTAACATTCAGAGAGACTTTTCTTAGTCAATTTAGACTAATTTTACGATTTTATCTGGAAGTAATTGAATAGCATAACTAAGAGCTTTTTATGTATCTTTGATAAAAATCGCACTGATTTATTAAAGAATTTACTATTAGAATTCATAATCTTACGGTCGAAAGACGTTTTCCATATGTGGAATTCAATTTAAATCTATTGTTAAAATGCTAAAGAAATCGACTAAAATTTGCGTAATCATCGACAAAGCAATATATTTCGTCTTTTATACAATCTCATGTAAAGATGGGACTCTTTTAAACCTATTTCCTCTCAAAACCGCTTTGAAAAGAATAAGTCTGCATTTATGAATTTTCTACATTCGAGAAATATACACGATATAAATGAAATTCCTGGAAATTGTGCGTCATTACTACATTTTAAAAGCATAAGAACGTTGCACAACTATAATTCCGATTTCGCATGTAGCGTTATCCGGTAAAAGCTGGTGTTTAGTTTGAAAAATTTATCTGATTAGTATCATATTATTAGTTTCAATTAAAATAGGTATTGCATTGTCGATTTCGATTAAAAATTTTTACGAATATAAAAGCTGTATCTTTTTGATAAACAAATAATTCACATACATGTTGAAGCAACAGTTTCGTAATTTTATGTTTAGACAACAAAATGTAACATTTTATTCCAAAACATTTAGAAATAAGTCATAAAATAGCGAGCAAAGATATTTTTAACTAAAAATTGATTTACGATAACTATTTCCCATCTAATTCAATTAGCAATAATAAAGTAGCTGGTGCTAGAATAATCTACGAGGTACAAAATACAGTACGGGCCATGCTGTTTCCGATTATGAATTGCAAAACTTTCAGCATCGTTTCGCATGACTTCGTGTTGGATTAATGATGGACCCTAGAAGTTTCACCGTGAAATTTCATACTATTAGAGGATGTCTTCTCTTTCTCTCTTACTAATTCTTTGACAAACTATCATTGGTTGTTCAGTCATGCTGAAACTTCTTTTTTCTTGGGACTCTCTGATGATGTTATGAACGTCACTCGTAATGTCGAAAAAAATGAAAAAAAAAATCTTTTTTAAACATTATAGTATTACTGCGGGGTGTTTAGATGTTCGATCGTATTAATCATTTATTTACCGTAATAAAGTAGTTTCCAAAAATAATTTTCTCAATATCTTCGACAATCACAGAATATTTTCTATCCATAAACATTTCAATTTACAAATATGTTATACATCAATGTAGAAAACATTTAGCATTGTTTATGAAGAAGAGAAAATGGTGATGGTCTACTGCGTTTTTTATGCAAATACTCATTGAAAAATAAAGAAATGAAAAACCACGTAGCATTGCAAGCATTTTAATGAACTATAATTTGCTTATGCAAGCGATACGATTTAGAACTATACACGCCTTTAAAAAAAGATTATTTGTGCAATTTGACTTAATTATGTTTCATTCATAATCTTTGAAAAATAGTCACACTGCAAATATTTAATATTCTTAATATTATACTTTTACAATTAATTTTTTATGCAATATTAACAGGTATTTTTGTAAACAATTTATTTATTTATATAATTTATATATAAAAATGTATATTTTCTATATAATAATATATGATATAATAAGCATAAGTGTATAATTTTAATAATTTTCGCGAAATAGTTTTCTGTCAAATAGAGAATAATCTATAACGCGTTATTTAGGTTTAATTGGAATTTTATCTTTTTAACAGAACAATTTTAAGGATAAGTTTTAAAAATCGAAATAGTCTATACACCTCTCTATGGAAAAAAGATATTGTTTTAATTGGTTTTCTTTTACTTGTCAGACGTTTTTTTGAGATATATCACATATATTATATATTTATTATATCCTTAAAGCGCGTGATGTGCGATGTGCGCAATTATTTTTGTTTTATCTTTATTCAATATTCGGTGAACAATAAAATGATACATTATGCGCATTATTCACAGAATACAGCCTTGATATGCATGTGCATTGTTATGTCACTGCGTTTCCACTGTTTCCAGTTGTATAAATTTGTATTTTATTATACCTAATCAATATGAGTATATGATAAAAAGAGATCACTTTCCTAGAAAAAATAACAACCTCGCACATCTTAAATCGTATTTGTTTCAATAAATATTTCATTTAGTGTGTCGTAACATTCGCTAACATTTTATATTATTTTCCTATTGTTTTAGAGTTAATAATATAAGTTGGATATTAATATAACTCAAAAAATAATGAGAAAGTAATATATAATAAAATGTTAGCAAATGTCACAATACATTCAAATAAAATAATAATAAAATAATTATATAATAATATATTATTAAATGTGTCGAAAAATATAGATATTTAATGTTCGTAATAAAAACATGGAACTTAATGCATTCCTCCAGTAACTTCAATAGATGCTCCGTTTACATAAGAACTCTTATCAGAAGCTAAAAATGCAATAACCTCTGCCACTTCTTGTGGCTTTCCCATTCTTTGCAATGGTACATTTTTTATAAATAATTCTTTAACTTTATCCGGCACAGTCATAGTCATAGAAGTATCTATAAAACCAGGCAGTACTACGTTCACTCGAATACCAAATCTGTAGAAAATGCAATATATTTATCTCTTCATTTAGAAATATTTTAAATAAAGTAATCGTGATGCATATCTAATACATACTGTCCAAATTCCATAGAAGCGCTCTTTGTCATAGCTACAACTCCAGCTTTGGATGCACTGTAGTTACTTTGTCCAATATTCCCAGTTTTACCGATAATTGAACCGATATTGATAATCGAGGAATCTTTGGTTGCATTTGCTTCTATCATTGCTTTAACTGCAGTTTGCATAACTAGAAAAGTACCTTTTAAATTGACATTGATTACATCATCAAAATTATTGTCACTGAGTTTGATTAAAAAGTTATCTCGTGTAATGCCCGCTGAATTAACAATGACAGTAGGTGGTCTTGAAAATTGTTTCAAGACGTGTTTAAATGCTGTCTCCACACTGTTCCGATCAGTGACTTGAACATCTAATGCAGTATGTCCGGCACCTGCAATAGTGAATAAGGTATTAATAAATATTGAAATAACTAATGTAACAAATAGTTATAGAGTAAAACAGAATTATTGGGTTAAAAATAAAATAGATATAATTTTAGTTAATTAAAATTTTGTAAATACGAAGATATAATAATTCTGTTTCAACCTCAAATTAAAAAGAAATTAATAAAATTATATAGACCTTCCAAAGTGGCTACAGTTTCCGTAGCAGCTTTGATATTTTGATCGGTTGCGACAACGGTAGCGCCTTCTCGGGCAAAAACTCGACATACCTCTCTTCCAATACCGCTTCCAGCACCTGTAACATAATTGAAAAAGTCAAGATTGTGTTATTATAGATTTCAAGATTACGTTTATATGGATATTTCATATATTGTATTATTTACCTGACATAAACTTTTTTCACATATATAAATATAAGGAAAGAATAACGAAATTGTGAAATGTTAACATTAAATTTTGGTATTATTATTACTAAAAGATGTTTAAGACATTTAATGTTAAAAATTGAAAAACTGCAATAAAATTGCAAGTTTCACATATATACCTATAAATATAAATATATATAAGTAATATTTTTTTATATAATCCTTTTAATCATTAAAACAAATATTAAAACAAATAGTCGACTTTATATTTCCATAGTAATTTTTTTAATTTTAGGAATAAAAAATTTATATAATATTTTACATATGTTTCATTCAGTAGTATTTTGTGTTTATTATACGCAATACACTGTGTAAGTACCAATCGAGCAATGTGAGGAGAAACTTCGTTTCGCGTGAAAAATTGAAAAACTGTGTGGAATCGTATACATACCAGTTATATATATAACTTATCATCTTAATAAAAATTTTTCACGTAAAACAAAAAGTCCACTTTATTATAAAATACCTTTTTTTTTTGCATAGAGACATCCATTATGCTACAATTACATATTATTATACATTTCGCGCGTTATTTTAAAACGCAGGTTTAACGCATGCTCTATTTTTTGTTTTCATCGGTACAATAGATTTCCTAACCTTTAAATACATACGTCTCTCCTTAGTCGCTTAATTATATTAATCTTAAATAGAGTAGCGAGTGGTGTTTTTTGTTTTTTAAGTCTTTGTTTCTATATATAAAAAAATATTAAATAAGTATATACTCTTATCTAAATATAATATTGAAATCATTATATCTTTTTAAACATGTTTCAACGTTATCAATATGTAAATGCTCAAGCCTGAAAAATACATCAAATTTGCTGAGTTGTTAAATGCTAAAAATTAACTCGATATTTACGATACAATTTATGATATAATTAAAATATTGTATAAACAAAATGATTACAGAAAAAATGGTAGAATATTTAAAACTAATTTTGTTAGTTTAATTGAATTTATTAATTTGTTAATCTAATCGAGTTACGAGCTAGTATTAATAAAAATTAAATTTCAATAAAGTATAAAAAAGTAATTTTAGTTATCAGCTTTAATACAAAATAAAACTGCACAAACCGGTAACAAATGCCAGTTTTCCAGCTACGAGCTTCGACATATCGTAGGTGTAATTAGAAGGTCTCGTATAAACAAGGCGCTAATCAACACTGAGTATCATTTAGTCTTTGTTATTAAAATGGCCTCCTTCCTCGGAGCTGATTCAGCTTCATTTAGATCTGGTAGTTCCACCTTTTGATAAATTTTACCTGTTGAGTAAGTAGCAAGATTATCCAAACATACGCGCGAATTGCCAGATTTACCTAACAGATCAAATTTACCAAAAGGTGGAACAATCGGCCCTTAAAACACCGTAAAGCTGAGTATACATAGCGAATAATTAGCAGATATTCGGACATATTTTATTTGTAAATATAAGTCAATTAATTTTTGAATTTCTTAATTCCATCAAGCACTCAATCAGATTCAATATTTGTTGCATATAACGATTAAACTTATGCGATATTTGTGCAATAAATAACAATGAACTTTCGCGTTTCTGTAAATTCATTATTCGATGTTCGCATTGTAGTCTTGTCACAATACGTTAAGACCTTTTCTCAAGCCTTGTATCTACAATGTTAGAAATCAGTCTGAATGTCATAAAGGAAGAGTTGACCAATCGCATTGGTCATATGATTGAATTGTTCAAATGTGATTTGTTAATTCTATCCGAGATCTCGGATCGATTTCTAGCATTGTGGGCACAAATTAAGCTTTACAGGGCACATTAAGCACCAAGGGGCATGTTTGAAATTCTACACAGAAATTCTACTATATTTTATGTTATATATAGAAATATTTTAATAATTACATTAATACAGAATTTATTATTAAAACTTTATATTTTACGCATATATTTTTAAAAGAATATAAATTTATAAACTAAATTATGTGATTTGTAGGAATTAACCAATCATAGTCGATTATTCCTCTTTCATTTCACTGTGATTGGTCAATTCTTTCAGATTACGGTCAATATAAATAATCCTATATTTAAAATAATGACACGTCTTAAAATAATTCACGTCTTGTTAATTCGAAATTGAGTTACATACAAAAATAAACAATAATCTATCAGCAAAACTATAGTGGAAGAAATCAATAACAGCGATCGTTTATTTAGTTGTTGAGAATGCGCCAATTAAATACCTATCGTATCGTCGTACGTCGGATGCGCACTGTGCAGTGTAATTGGCTGCATTCAGCAGACTCAGCAGTTTTGCAACCGTTTTATGATTCGTCGCGCTGATTAGATTATACTTTTATAGGCCTTCTACAATAAGCCGCAAGTCAGAACGTCAGAAGTCTTAACCAGTCTTAACCAAGTCGTTCAAGTTGGCTATTGGCCAACTTCACCGATTATGACTTAAGATCGCTTAGAACTTCTGACTTGGGGCTTATTGTAGAAGGCCTATTATAGATTTCAAGGAATAGTCCTATCTCAGCGAAGAATCACAAAATGGTTGCAAAACTGTTGAGACTGCTGAACGCAGCCATTATGCATGTGTCGTATTGGTCGCGTTCAGCAGACTCAACTGTTGTGGAGCAGATCCGTGAGCACTTGCTGCTATTGGTGTATTCTTCTAGATCATCCAATAGCAGCGAGCGCTCACGGATCCGCTCCACAACAGTTGAGTCTGCTGAACGCGACCATAGTCGTACACTGAGTGTATTGGAGAATACTGGGATACACCGTTGTTCTGTGGTTTCGAAGAGTTTATTCCAACTCATTCCTCATTCTTCCATATTTTCCCAATATTGAAATAATGTCTATAAAATGAAAGAGTTTTGGTAAGAACATGATATTTTGCTTTGTATGCTTTGATTATAGAAATTGAACAACAGAAATTAAATTAGGAAATCTGATTAAAAACATATATATTTGGTTTATTCTCATATCTTACATTTTAATGAAAATATGCTTAATTGTTAACGTTTTATGTGTAGAATAAGAACTTTAAAAAGGTCACTCAAAATCGTAAAAATTGTAATGCATTAAATATAATAGTCCTGTTTAGGTTAGGAAATCTCATTCACAAATATAGACGAGTTCCACAGTTACGTGAATGTATATAACATTATGGTTGCTTTTCTTTTAGAAGACGATCTACACAAACGTCGTGCTATCCTTTTATTCAATGAAATAATAAACATGAAACGATATTTGTATCAACTGTCTCTTAAAAGGAAAGCAGCCTATATCTCATTACAGTAAAATACCGATTTCCTGCAGGAACCTTTTAATTAATGTATGTATCTATTTTTGTTTTTTAAATCTTTTTATGTGCATAAAAATCTATCTATTGAGCATATTTTTATAAAATCTGAGATCAGATTAAATCGGATGTTTACTCCGAAAATTTTGCTAAAAAATTTCATAACATAAGTTTACTGGAATAATATGACTTTAAGGTATATACAAAATTTTTCTGTTATATGATAGTTCTACAATAGAATCAAGAAGACGTTTACTTTTAATATCAACCAAAAATCCAAAATGGTTCAATAAGTTGCGCCTAAACTGAATTGTTGAACATCATTACAAAATATTGATTAGAATGATGTAGACCAAGCTGTACATAGAATTTTAGATCTGTAAGTATGAATTTTGGATCCATGCTGTGAATAAAAGAAATGAGGGTATGCATCTTTGTATTCATGTTTTAGGGAAAAAGAAAATATCTGAGCTACATCTACTAAAAAATTGAGATCAGCAACTGAAAGATAATGAGATAAATTGTCCTTGTTATCTGCCTCTATCTGTAACAATTTACTTTTTTTGGACACTAACCGATTTCGATATTGAACAAGAAATAGAAATTTGCAAAATTTCTTATGGTAAAAAATTAATTGTTTTTTATTTAGCTAAATATTTTCTATTTCTCTAAAAGAAAATACATGAAATTGAAACGTAATACGTTACTTGTTATTCTTACTTTTTTAATATAATGAATTGACGTTTTTTATGAATAATGGCATCACAGTTATATTTTTTGGGTAACAATAAGGAATATAATCACTATTTTTATCTTTTTTTTTTACTTTGAACGGTATATGTGTAGAATGGCATATGTATATATATATATATATATATATATAAATATTGTAGACGGGCCTATAGATCTCGTGTTAGCGACATAGACAATCAAATGCCTCTCTAAAAAAAAGATTATAAAAATTCGATGAAAAAGTAATTCAATACCTTTTGAATAATAAAATCAGTGAATCATCTAATTATGGCATTTTTAAAAATTGAATATCTTTTTCAGGTAGATTTTTAATAATAGAAATCAACATGATCTGTTTGTCTAAATACTGGAATAACGGAATTGTATTTTATTTCATTGGATTGGATCCAATATAACTTAAATTTGCTCTCTGATTGAGCAAACCAAAATTGAAACTACTTTATCAAAAGGTAGGAAGCTTTATATGTTGAAATTAATTAATTAACAGATCAATTAGAAATTAATCCATTGTGACTCATCCATTAAGCCCGATGTCCACGATGCTAGAAATCAGTCCGAGATCTCGGACAGAGAAAAAGTTAACAAATCACATTTGAACAATTTGATCACATGACCATTGCTATTGGTCAATTCCTTCTTCATCCGAGATCTCGGACTGATTTCTAGCATCGTGGACACAAGGCTTTAGAAGTGATCCTTAAATTACCATTCAAATAGTGAATCTTTTTTTGTTTTAGGGTAAGACTGGTCAAGTGCTGATGCTTGCTTTCTGACATCTTTGGAGGCGTTCTTTTAATAAGCACCAGCAAAAGTTTTGCGACTATTGATCGCGTAAAAAGAAAATTGAAACATTTTCCAAATTCCTGTCTTTTGATTACTTCAATTAATTCACTCTCCGAAAGATTTTACATTATGCAGCGCGTTAATTCGATTTCTTTCGAATTCGGTTCGTAAAGGAGACATTTAAAATTTCTTTCCGAATGTTCTTGGATTACTTGTGACGTCACTCGGGTCATTTGTTTATTATAACGAGGTCATCAAATGCATTTCAAAGAACTCGAGATTTTTAAAATATTTTACTAATTTTTAATAACAAATTAGAAATATAAAAGTTACTAATCAGCATAATGAATATAAGAGTAGTTATTCACAAAATATAATTACTATAGTAAATAAATTCGTAAAAATTATGAGATTGTCATATATATATGTTTACACATATAAACGTGTATATATTAGCAAGTATTGATTTTGCCCAGGTATGCTGTCCCTGGTTCTTGAACGTTCTCCAATTGTCAGCCCTGGTATACGCGACGGGGCGGGAGGGTTTACGTAGGTTGCCCAGCCAATAAGAGATTGACTTTCCGTTGTCACGGTGATAGTGCCGTAAGCTTCTGACGTCAAAGCGTACTTATAGTGACGTCAGAGAACGCGCTATGTGAACGGGCAAGTGTGTTTACAGAAAAATTGAACTTGAACCTGCTCGTGAACTTGAATTTGTAGTGCAGTTTAGTGCTGAGATTGTTGCCGATCGAATGAGTGATCGGATAATCGGCACTGGCAACATAATACTGCCTCGTCTCTTTCAAGTGTGGCCAATATTCGAAAGCCATGAAACGATGTGACGACGTAACGAGGTCTAAATTTAAATGCTTCATCGAGCGGATCGCGTCAAGATTCGCAGCGAAGCGTTATACCTGCGAAGGAACAATAATCGAGGCTGTGCCGAGAACTAATCGCAGAATACATGAATTTTTAAGCGTTTGCTAGACTCATTCCGGAATTACTTAAACTTTGCAGTACGAATGGAGCCATGTATTATCCGATCGATCGGGATGGTTAATATTCGCGATCGGAAATTTTCACGATTCTGGCGATTTTCGAGTGATTACTTCGTTTTCGCTAATTCTCGGTGTGTTAATCGCAATATTTTCAACAACGGTGGTGAAAAAGGACGAAAGGGAGAGGGTGGAAAGAAAGGGCAATGGGGAGAGGGAGAAGTATGGGCACGTGAAGAGGTCAAGGTGACAGGAGGGGGAATCATTGCGAAGGTCACGAACAGCACCGGCGCACCACTGACCTTTAAAAGCTGCGTATCGTTTGTTCCTGCTACAGTTCGGTTTTGGAGCTTTTAGAAATCAGACTGAGCTTATACATCACACGCGCGCGATCCACTCAACGCATGA